AGTAGAAGTAGAAGTAGGAGTATTTGTAGAAGTAGTAGCAGTAGCAGTAGTAGTAGTAGTAGTAGTAGTAGTAGTAGTAGTACTAGTACTAGTACTAGTACTAGTACTAGTACTAGTACTAGTACTAGTAGTACTAATAGTACTAGTAGTACGAGTAGTACTAATGGTACTACCATTACTTGTGGTACTTCTGGTACTGTAGTACGTGTAGTACGTGTAGTACTTGTAGTACTTGTAGTACTTGTAGTACTTGTAGTACTTGTAGTACTTGTAGCACTTGTAGCACGAGTAGTACGAGTAGTACGAGTAGTACGAGTAGTACGAGTAGTACGAGTAGTACGAGTAGTACTAGTAGTACTAGCAGTACTAGCAGTACTAGTAGTACTAGTAGCACTAGTAGTACTAGCAGTATGGTAGCACTAGTAGTACCAGTAATACTAGTACTACTAGTACTACTAGTCGTACTAGTATTGCTAGTAGTACTAGTAGTACTAGTAGCACTAGTAGTAATAGTAGTACAAGTAGTAGTAGTAGTAGTAGTAGTAGTAGTAGTAGCAGTAGTAGTCGTAGTAGCAGTAGTAGTCGTAGGAGGAGTAGTAGGTGGTGGTACTAGTAGTAGGAGTAGCAGTAGTAGTAGTAGTAGTAGTAGTAGTAGTAGTAGGAGTAGGAGTAGTAGTAGTAGTAGTAGTAGTAGTAGTAGTAGCAGGGATAGTAGTAGTAGTAGTAGTAGTAGTAGTAGTAGTAGTAATAGTAGTAGTAGTAGTAGTAGTAGTAGTGGAGTAGTGGTTGTACTACTCGTCTCAGTAGTAGTAGTAGTAGTAGTAGTAGTAGTAGTAGTAGTGGTGCTAGTAGCAGTAGTAGTACGAGTAGTAGTAGTGATAGTAGTAGTAGTAGTAGTAGTAGCAGCAGTACTAGTACGAGTCGTAGTAGGAGTAGTAGTAGTAGTAGTAGTAGTGGTAGTAGTAGGAGCAGGAGTAGTCGAGTAGTCGTCGTCGTCATTGTCGTTGCACAGGAGTAGTGCTAGTAGTAGTCGTAGTGGTAGTGGTACTGATAGTGGTAGTGGTAGTGGTGGTGGCAGAGGCAGTGGTGACGGCGGCGGCGGCGGTGTTGGCGGTAGCTTCGTGATGATGACTGTTGTGTGCCGGTAACCGGCAGTGACCGGTAGTGGTCGTCATTCAAGCATTGGCGGTGGTAGGTAGGGGCAGAGGCCGTGGCAGTGGCTATAGCAATAAGCAGAAGCGGCACCATGCAAACAATTCGCAGAACGAACACACACAAGTCTGACAGGCCCACACACAAACACCCGAAGTCAAGCAAGAACCCTTCCGCCACAAACTCAGCAAATTAACGCCAGCAGCCGGCAGCAGTAACACCAGCAACAATAGGAATGACGGAGAGCAGAATAGCAGCAGGTTAGCACCACTACGATACACCACCGCCGCTGGCAACCACCGCCAGCTTCGCCACAAACCCAAACCCCACCACCACTCACGCCAGCACTGACACCGGCACCATCAACAGCACCACAACTAGAACTAGCAATCCCAACGCACCGGTGAAGGTGTCCCTCCTCGACTACTTCCCTCGGCATTCATGACACATTCGGGTCCTGTGTTCGCCGATCATTAAGAAAAGACTTCAAGAACATGGTAGCTCATGTCTCAACGAAGAACTAGGAGGAAGCCTTGTTCAGTCATCACAAGAATCTCCATAGCTCCGAGCCGTCTTCACTGCTCCGTTCTTCCGTTCTAATCGATCCGGACAAATTAGCCTCCAAGCTAAAGGAGCGGCCCAGCAAATTGCCCACCTCTGTCAGGATGTGCGTGAAGCACAGCTCGGCGGTAGGCAGATCGAAGATCACTGACCGACGCATTCCGATCGACCTGGCAACGCATGTGCTTCAAGATCACACATTTGACCGAAGAGTAAGGCCACAGCTCTCAGGACAGTGTAGAAATCGTGCGAATGCTGCACGCCACCCTGAACGAATGCAACTTGTCAATGCTGATGCGCCGAAGTTTTGATGGATGTGCCCTCTGCATGATAAGCCGCCAACCACCAAAGGGTTTCGCGATTCGGCAGCCATTGGAAACAGAATCTGCAAGCATGACTCCGTCCAACCTCAGACACACAGATGTGTCAAAAACATGGCACGTGTGCGTGCATCAACACATAGTACATAGCATATCCATAGCGATCGTACAGACTGGAACTGAAACACAGTATGGACAGGGCTTTATTTATTCCTCGCCAATCTATCTCCAAGATTACACCTCAAAGCAAGATCGCCCTAGAACAACGACGACCCAGATGTGGCCAACCGCAGTGCACATCCCTCAACGATGGACACCATGCTCTCAGAATGGGGTAGAAGCTCAGCACAGGCTCCAACAAAGCTGCTGAACTTGCTCATGCTTTCTTCTACCAGGATTATTGGCCTCTCAGAATGTACAGCCTTCAGCGTGGATTCTTCAATACAAGTGCTGCCCAAGTACATAAGTTGCCATGGCGGCAAATGAGTGCCGAAAGTGGCTATCAAAAGCTTGCCATGGTGGCTAGCACCACAGCAACCATTGAACAGTACCAGCTGCATTCACATCACGAACAGAGAATTCAAGCCGTTCATGCTGCACACTGACAGTCAAAACACCTCCATAGAAAAACATGCTAAGATGCGCTGGACAAGAGCCTGCCTGTCGATCGTCAGGAACTTCCAGTCCAAGCAAGTCGAAATCATCGAGCCTGAGATGGGGATACAAGTAATTCACTTTCGCAGCCGTTTTCTGGGAACGAGGTTGTCACTCCGACATGCCTCAGTTGCATCGGTGCCTCTCAAGCACATGTCAGATGTCCAACCAATGATCACTGGCCGGTGAACCCCACCGACAAAGAAATCGGGCCTGAATGTCAGGTCCAACTCGCCCTTCCCTTCTAATCATCAAAGTCATTTTGGAAGCTTGACAGCGGAACACGCATCATACCATTCTGATCATAGTTGCCCCAAACTCCATACCCCTGACAGACGGAAGTGCGAGACCGTTTCTTGTTGTGTGGGTTTGGGAAGCATGCGCTCACATGGTAGCGCTGCATGGTTGCAATCACAAGCATGCATCTCCAAAACAAACCTTTTTCGAGACTCCGCGTCTCGAGCACCGAACCATTCATTGCAGTAGCTGCACCAGACCAGCTCAAGTGTGATCAGGAAAATCTCCCGTTCTGTTATTCTGCTCCACGCTCATTGAAATTGCAGCTGGAAGCCATGAGGCGCAAAGCAACGGACCCTGATCCGCCCATGCAAGCCACCACACGCTGCTGCAGCTCAATGAATGCAACTCCAACTTAGAGATCCATCCAAATAGGTGTCATGACTAGGGTTTTTCGAACTTCAAGATTTGAAAAATTGAACGACAAGCTTGAAGTTCGAAAGTTTGAGAGCTTCGAGATTGGAATCTGAGCGCGGGTTTGGAGCTTGAAGGTTTGAGCGGGAATCCAGCTCGAAAGTTTCAAGCCGCAGCGGCGTGCGCCGTGCGGGAGACGTGAGGTGAAGGACTGGCAGTACATAGGTGGGCTCACGGAGCAGCTCCCAGGCTCCAGTTTGAGAGGTCTGAGCTTGAAAGTTTAAGACCCAGAGTTTGAAAGCTCGAAAGTTCGAAATTTTCAATTCGTGGGAGGTTTGAAGATTTGAAAGCTTCAATTCTCGAAGATTTGAGTTTGACAGACACGGCATTAAGCAGCTCGAAAGCTTGGAAGTTTCAAAGTTTGAGAGCCTCACGGTTTTTAAATGTGAAAAGTTTGGAGGTTGGAAACATTGAAAGTTTGTGCTCCATTGAATTATGCGTCGGGGAGCCGACCGCTGGCCACTGGCCGCGGGTCGCGGCGGGACGCGGGGGTTTCGGGACACACAAGAAAGACGGGTTGCGGACGATATGCCATCATCACCAAATGAGGGACGGCATTTGGGAAAGCTAATGAAGCGGAATCGCTCAATGAGGGAGCGGTGTTACGACATGTGATGAACGGGGATCGCCAAATGGGGGCAGGCGTAAGACCCCTGTGATCACTCAGGACCGCCAAAGGAGGAGGCTGATTGTACAGGGAGGTGTGGTCAAGATATGTCATCAACCGGTCTCGCAACAAAGGACTGGGTTCAAGACATGTCATGAGCCGGGATCGCCAAATGAGGAGGAGCTCAAGACATGTAAAGGAACAGGAACCACCGGTTCAAGAAATGTGATCAGCCGGGTGCGCCACTTGACATGGCGCATTTAAGAAATGAGATCAACATGGATCGCTAGATACAGGGAGGTGTGATCAAGATATGTGATCAAAAAAGGAATGGGTTCAAGACATGTCATGAGCCGGGATCGCCAAAGGAGGGGGCGGGCTTCAGAAATGTGAAGGAACAGGAACCGCCAAAGGAGGCGGGTTCAAGAAAATGTGATCAGCAAGGTTCGCCACTTGACAGGGTGCATTTAAGATATGTGATGAACCAGGATAACCAACGTATTGGTCGATTTTGCGACATTTGATGAACCGTGGTCGCCAAATGAAGGAGCAGGATTTAAGACATGCGCTCAACCGGATCGAAATGCAGGGGCATGTGTAAGACATCGACTGCGATCGCCAAAGGAGGCGGAGCTTAAGACATATGATCAACCGGATTAGGAAATCTGATCAGCCGCGATCGCCAACTGGAAGAGGGTGGTTAAGATATGCAATCAACCGGGTTCGCGTTACGACATGTGATGAACCGGGATCGCCAAATGAGGGGGCAGGCTTAGGAAACGTTGATCAACCGGGATCGCCAAAGGAGGAGGCTGGTTCAGAAATGTGATCAACATGTTGCGCCAAATGACGGGGCACCTGTAAGGAACGTAATCAACCGGGAACGCTACATGCAAGGGGGTGTGAAGCAGATATGTGATCAGGTCTCGCCAAGTGAAAGGAGGGGTGGGTGGGTTTAAGAAATGCGATGAGCCGGGATGGCGGGGCGGATGTGATCGACCGGGATCGTAAAATAAGGGCGCGGGTTTAAGAAATGTGAGCAGCCGGGATCGCCAAATGAAAGGGGGGTTAAGATCTGCAATCAACCGGGTTCGCCAGAGGAGGAGTGGGTTTTGTTTTATGAAGTTCGTCGGAGTTTCAAAAAGGAAAATACACACACATCATGATTCACGATGTGTGACAAAGCAGCACGCTTCTTGCCGGCAAACATATAGCCCCAATATGTGGGCAGCGAAATATAAACAACAGGCAGCAACAAGTCGCCCATACCCAGGTATTGCCCGACATGAGGGGTGGGCTCGGGACTATATCAAAGCAATTTAAATATTGCCAAAAGCGCAACACATAGCACTCGATTGTTTGGGTCTCATTGGCACATGGGAGTTGCAGAGTCCTGCTGGGCCACACCGACCCAACTTGAAAGATGAGCCATGGCTCCTCTTGACGTGCTCGGGCTTAACCGCGCAAATCTTTGCAATATTTCCCCCGGGTTGGGAAGGTGGGACAAAAACTTTTCTTTCCTGCACGTCACTTGAGGAAATCTCGGCAGCAGCATTGCATGACATGGTTATATCCTACAGGACCGCATGGCATGTGAAACAAAATTGCACTCGAAAGAAAAGAGACATGTACATGGCATCATGAACTCTTCTCTCTTTTCTAAAACCTAAAAACCTCCTTCTTTTATTTGGAAACCGCCTTCCCATGAAAGGCTCTCCGACGTTTCATAAACAAAATTTGCCCGACATGAGATTTGGGCTCCCAAACCATTTGCAGTATTGCCAAACGCGCGACACATAGCACTCGATTGTGTTGGTCTCATATTGGCACACTGGGGTTGGAGAATCCTGCTGGGCCACACCGACCCAGCTTGAAAGATGAGCCATGGCTCCTCTTGACGTGCTCGGTTTAACCGTGCACATCGTTGCATAATTTTCCAAGTCTGCTTCAGCATGCATGAACAATCGACTTCCACGGCCTCAAAGAAGGGCACCAAGCATGAGGGTTTTCAATGCCCCAATTCGGACGATTATTTTCGTTCTCTGCGTAATGCAGAAGCACTCTTTTTACCGCAGAGGTTGCAAAGGAATGCGTTGCGTCTTGAGGCAGAAACTTTGTCTGGGCAAAGCGATGCCGGAAAGCCTTCCCCCTCTTTAGTACGCAGTTCTTGCACCTCTGCTCAGCTTTCCGCCCCCACCGCACGAGGTGCAGGGCTGAGTACCTGGCGAGGTAGCGTGTATAGCAGAAAAGGTTACCGAATAAAGCAAAGCACGCAGTGCACTTCTTTTTCGGGCCGGAACGTGCCTGAA